AGAACAAATGACTGACTCTGTCAACTGTATTTTTACCAAGTACTAAATAAAGATACTAAATAAGAAGCAACCTTAAATGGAAGGATAAAGAAACTGTTGCAATGGATCAAACACTGTGGAAGACACTTGTAGCACAATGAGCCTCAGAGCACATAAAGAAGCCTAAACAAAACTATTTAAAAATGTGTTCTTTCCACATAGATTCCAGACTTGTTCGCATACCCACTCAAATCAAGGGAATTCATAACTAAAAAAAGACCCATTGCTTTTAATGGCTGTAACTTATCTGGATCTAACACAGTATTTTAAATTGCCAACCAGTCTTCTACCCCAGAGGCTCTCAAACAGTGGTGGTCCATTCAGGTGGTCTGTGAAACTGCTATGGAACAACCAAAAAAAACCCGTTTGTACTTGATTCTGCACTTGATCTGTTATTTCTGACAATGAGATTCCTGAGCAGATGAATAGGCCAACAAGACACTAGCTTATCAACCACTGAGTTCATAATATGGTGCTGGTGGAGTCCACTAAGTTTTTCCTTGAAGAGTATCATTTAAAGGGTAAGTGTGGGTTGCACAGCATGGCAACCCACACTGCAAGCAAGATACACAGCATGAGTTGTTCACAGAACACTCTATGGTGAACCCAATGGATGGCCAAGCTTGCTATGGATTGCCCTCACCTTTCCTCCACCCTCTCATGCTAGTATCCTATTGTGCAGTAGGACCATCTTATCTCTCCTTGCTGCTCCAATCACGCCCCTTTTCCATGTGCTTTTTTTTTTTTCTGGTGTCCCTTGCCAGGAACATGCTCCACTGATACCCCAACAGCACTTTGAAGTGACCATCACTGACTCATTCCTCTTTCTTAATTACTATTCTGTGTTGGCAGTGAAGTTATACAAATGTACACAGTTTGTAAATTTGCCAGTACGTCTCCTACAAAGGAATGAAATGTAGAATCTTATCAAAGTGCAGTCGACAACATTTATGGACACTGACCAACTGAGGCTGCCTTCTTTGCACACTATTAATGAGCTGACAATTGAAGTAAAGCAGCAGGGCTGGTTGGGGGGAGAGTCCTGAAAGTGGGTGGTTAGTATATCTCCAACTTTTGGGTGCAATCTCATAGTTTCTTCAGTGCTGCCCTGACTCTTCTTAAACTACAGTCCCCCACTTCCTTGAAGTGCTCTGTAGAATGAGCCATATACCATCGACTTACTGCAAACACTTACTTCTCAACCTATCTAGCAAATTTGAGCATTTTGAGGTAGCAAGACCATGAATATATACTTCTTTGTCCCCACCCCCAAATCTTGACAAATAAAATTAAGAATATTTGTGTCACCCATTATTATTTTAATTTAAGGGTAACATGCCAATAAGAGTTGTTCCAAAAGGCCACTTGGTCACCAATGGAATGGCTATCATTGGGAGTGGTGTGCGCAGACTCCAAAAATAGCAAGGGTTTTTATAACTCTTGTCAGGAGACTCTATCACCACATCCCACAACGGGATCAGTCTCCTGAGTTCAGAAGATACAACGATCCATTGGGGATACAACAACTGCTATAACAAAAATTAGTGTTCAGGCTGACCTGTTGTACCAAACCAATCTATAGGAAGTAGATTTTTATAATAATATAATAATATTTCTGTGGTAATATTTTAATGTAGTTGGTTTAGGTTTTTAAAAAGTTAATTTCTTAATATAATATAAACAGGTTTATTTTATTTTGGGAGCTAAAATGCACCATACCAGTGGTTAAGACACAGCATAGAAAATTAATCCAAGCATGAAATATGTTAATACCACAGACAAGTATATAGCAACTTCTTGCTTTTAAAAAATGTGCCACTGTTGTGGCCCAAAGAGAATACCATGACAACTAAAATCAACTAGCAAAGTAGAGGCAATAAAATCAGGTTTCCCAGTGTGATTGGTTGTTGAAAGCAAACTTTAAAAGTAGTGAATTACCTCCAAAATATGCTAAGATTCATGCCCACCCCATGAGAAATGTGATTGTGGGGGGTGGGGTCATAAATTGAGTACCACAAATACAGAAATGGTTCAGTTGATGCCAAATTACCAAGGAAAGTTAAGTGCTGTTTAAACAGGCTCTACTAGCATCTTTTAATAGGCTAATTTATTATCCTTTAAAATCATGTTACAACTGATTATTAAAATCAACTGAGTTTGGGATATGCATTTGTTTTAAGTAATGTTATTTATTTAAATCATACCTATACTTCTTTATAAGAAGCTGTTTCAAGAAATAAAATGTTAAGGGCAAATACATTCTTGACACTGGTTACTACTCACTTGTTTTTTGTTTTTCTTAATAGCAAAACCACATGTATACACTTTCGGTACTGCAAAGAGTTTAACCTTGTGTCTGTAACATTTTTTTTTTCCAAAATGTTACTTTAAATTAATTGATAGTAAAAATTAGAATTAGAATTTTTTATCATATACCTTAGAATTTCTAATGCAACTGATAAGAGTGAATGCAGAAGCAAGTAAACGTTACTGTTAGGCATTCCTATTTTGCTTAAAATCCAGGCACTCTGGGCTATAGCTGATGAGTGACCTTGAGGCAGCTCTCAGAAGGTAGTTGCCATAGCAACACTATCACAAAAGTGGCTCATCCTTTGCAACACACACCAACCTGGTGCATCATGTTGCTAGATATAATACCATTGCTATTCTGTTGCTCTACTGAACCTGTAATATATATTGCAAACGTTCTGGGTAGCAGTTTTGTTTTTTTTAATAGCCCATTGTTCTTAACATTCTTGCCTTTTCAATATACACTTGATAGATACTACAACACAGAGAAAAGGTGTTCGTAACACAGCCTATTCACTGGTATGTTCTTAAAAGCAACTGAAACTTTAAATTAATTTGAGAAGCAGGATATTAGCATTATTTTAATACACATATTTATAATAACCATAGGACACTGTTACCATCATGTTGAGCATTCTCCCTCTTCTCTCACACATTTTGTATTGGCATATAAAAACTAGAGCTCTAAAGAAAACTCTTTTCAGCTATTTACAGCTCTAGTTTGCATATTTGTTTATTTAGACATTTGTATCCTGTCCATCAGCCAAAACAGGTTCCCTGGACAATTTGCAGCATTAAATATATGCCAACAATCAGTATGTGCAATTTTATAAATATTGAACTGATTATGATTTGATTAATTTAACAATCATCCACACAGAACCAGTTAATCACACTTGCTAGATAGAGTAGTTTTAAAAATGCTAAGCCCAAGTTCCCATTCAACTACCAACTCAGTTTTAAAGAGTTACTAGTGCTACAACAATATAAAGCATGGCAAGATGTTCATAGTAAGATTTTATAATCATAATTTTTGGGAAATATTAGACAATCAAACTGGCAAATCCTAAATGTCTTAATGTGCTTAATAATATGAAGAAATCTCATTGATGGCTCCAGCATATTGATACCTAAATATTTTAGACCAACCAGAAGAAAGGCTGGGCTACAAACATTAACAAATACTATTAAACTATTTCCTACATTTAAGAATGATGAAAAAGCATTTGACAATTGTAAAATAACTTGAACTGAATTCATCCAGGAATATTTTTTCCCTTTCCAGTGCTGTAGAATGAACTTAAAGATACTTCCAAAAACTTCACTAGAAACTCTACTATGCTTTATCTGGCTTGTATGCAATGTTAAACCTACTTGAAATAGCCAATTGAGAGGATTGTGAATTAATTTACTTAGCTGCAATGAGTGTGAGGTTTTGGTAGAACAGAAGGATATAAGTCAAATAAACAAACAAGACTAACATTAAATATAATAAGCTATTTTACCTTTATGCAAGAACTGAAAATCTTAAAAGTACATTTAAAAGTACTCCGAATTGCTAGGAACACTAAAGATTCAAACAGACATTCTGAGTCAAAGACTTATCTAGGCTAGAATTCTGCTATCACCACAGCGAACCAGATTCCTGTGAGAATCCCATATATAGAACATGAATGCATTTATATCCTTCCAGTACTAGTACATAGAAACTGGCATGCATAGGCATAGTGCCTCCAATATGGGAAGTAACAAAATATATAGCCATCAATACTAGGTCATTGATGAATGCATCTTCCCAGAATTTCTCTAATCCTCATTTTAAGCCATCCATGTTAGCGGCTATCACAATATCTTATCATAGCAAATTCTTTACATTAACTATGCACTGTATGAAGTATTTTATTTTAACTGTCTTGAATCTTCCATCATTAGCTTCATAGGATGGTCCTGTGTCCAAGTATTACATGAGAAAGATAAATTTCTCCCTACCCACGTTCTTCACACCATGGCTAATTTTGTACACCTCTATTATGTTTCTCTGTGCTTATCTTTTTCCTAATGTAAACAAAAGTTTAATTCTAGAGTCATGTTATTGCATTTTTTCATTCATTCATTCATTCATTTGATCTGTATTGCACCTTTTTCTTTTAAAGAACTCGAAGTGGCTTACATCATTTTCCTCCTGCTGTTCTAAACCTTATCCCCACAACAAAAACCCTGTGAGACAGAGTTTGTGACGAGCCCAAAATCACCCAGTTGGCTCAGGGCTGAGCAGGGACTAGAACCCAGACTGACTAAGTTCCAGTCCCATACTCTAAACCACTACACTATACTGGCTCTTGTTTAACCCATTCTGTAGGAGAGAATGTATCTAATACATGGCTCAGAAATTCTTCCATATCTGCCCTGTGTAGCACATTACTATTACTATTAGTACATTACTATTATTCCTATATTGCAAGTGGAAGATTAACAAGCTTATCCTCACACTCTTAGTTGCTAGACTCTGTCAAAATGTGTGTAAATGTGTCTTATAACCTGCTTGTTAATCAATTTTCACATTGAACTATTCCACCAAAACAGTTTTTAAAGATTTTGCACTACGGATAAGCATTTATTGGACCATCCAAATTCAGCATGATAAATTGTACCTGTTTGTTTTATGTGGAAATGAAGTAAGTTCAGGATTTTCACAGAAAGATTAGCTTTCTAACACTTCTGTCTCTGGACAAGTTCATAAATGCTGCAACAAAAACAAAACAGCCATTTAGTATCAATAAACCTATTCCATTTAATACAAATATAGAAATATGGATTAAGATGCTACAAGTTTTTGGAAAATCAAGCAACTAAGGGCAGAACCCTCACCATTTGCTGTTGAGGCTTCCACGGAGTTACCATGGAGGCTTCCAAGGTTCCTTCGCCTGCCAGGCTGCTACTAGTGAGACAGAAGGAATTCCTCTCTGTCCTCCTATTCTGTCCTCCCACAAGATGGGCCTCTAAGCCCACCTAAAAGAGTCCTGCCAGCGGATGGTGCATAGGGATGAGAGGCCATAGGAAACAATCCTAGGATTTCCCTCCCCTCCCCTGCCTATCACCACAAGTCCTTTCCCCTGTCCCCATCTTTGCCCAAAGCCCTGAATCTTGGAATAAAAGTCTAATTCTGTTATTTGGTTTCTACTTAATGTAGTATGCTACTATCCACCATTAGTCCAGCACTATGGGCCATCCTGGTTCAGACATAATTTCAAACCAGGGCTTTGTATCTGATGACCAAAGTTTGAAGATAACTAGACTCAAGTAATAGAAACAATGATTTGATTCTGGTTTCCACTCTGATTTGCAGGGCAGTCACAAGCCATGGTTTTTCTAATTGGACATAAGAAGGGATATGCTAATTGTAGCATATAAAAGAAGGAAAGTTTTTAAAGGCTTGAGCACATAAAGCCTAAAGCAGCAAAGACAGCAGTACTGTCCTGACTGTATAAAAGTCGTCCACCTGACTAGTAGTGCCAGAATTCAGACCTAAGTCTACTCAATACAGCGCATGGCTCATAGTTGGCCCTAATTTAGTTTTATCGATCACCTAATCAAGATCATTACTGAGATGAGATTATTATTCTGCTACAGTCAATATGACATTATTTAAAACATCCACAGATTAAAAGGTATTTGTTGGTGTAGTTGCTATGCAATCAGGATTTTCCTTTCAACATTACTGTGATTACAACAGAAATTTCAATTGGATGAGTTACCCATGAGCAGTTTGGGACTCCAGTACAAAAATCATGTGAATTATACAAGTAAACTAAAAGATTATCATACAAACAATCCTCATATTGTATATCAACATCAATATTGTACATCAATTCAATCCCCTTTCTTTAACCAGACCATCAATTATTATCATTTTTAAATTGGCATATTACCAAAACCTGCATGTAGAAGCCATTTTAGAATCATAGAACAGTGGAGTTGGAAGGGGCCAGAAGGCCATCAGGTCCAATCACTCCTATTATAGGACCAAGTTGCACCATCCCATTTGGATCACTGTCCAAAAGTCAGATGACTATTTTGAAGATACTGAAGATGAGAAATAGCTTTTGCTAAAAATTACCCTCATTTTCCAAAGTGAACAGCTATTTCCTTTTTAATTCTGTGTCATGACACAGTAATTATACTACTCAGCAAAACATATGCCCTTTATTCTCAGCCCAACTAGTATTTGCTCCTTACAGTCCAGCCCACAACTTAACTTTTAGTTGATCAATTAAATGCCAGTTAAATCTATTAGAAATACATTTTTATATATCCCAGCTTTAATTTCAACTGCAGAATGTAGTTGTACTTAAATAATAAAAGTAAAAAGCCTATTTATTCTCTGATATCTTGAAACTGAAAGAGTTGGCAGTCAGAACTCCAGCTAAGCAACAAGGAAGACTCACATTTAAATGTAAGTACAGAATTAGAAAATGCATTCCAAAAGTAATAATACTCCAAGTATGTTATGCTTTAAACAGCAAGTTAATGTGAACTCATTTCACTTTGGCAATATTGTGAAGCTTACGTGTATTGGTTAATCAAAAAATATATAGCAACATGCTAAATGTCTTTGTAGAAGTGTGTTTTCTGCCTTATAATTCTAGCTAGTTGTCTGTTTATCACAGACTGAATAAGTTAAAATTCCATTCAGAGTGAAAAATGCTGACCGGAATACCAGCAGCATAAACATGCCTGGATGTTACTAATGGAAATGGTGGAAAAATTCACAGGCTGACATCCAGAAAGCATGCTGCTCATTTTCACATTTCTTTCTTCCTGCAAAGCAGTCATTAGATCATGACCTCAAATTTGCTTTGTAAATCCTGGTAATTTCCATTGCTTTTAAAAGGAATATATTTCCCTTATCATTTATATTTTTGGAAGCTAGCATTCTTGCTACAAACGTTTAAAATAAGTATGAATTGCTCTGCATAATAAGAGGCTTTTAACTCAAAAGGAAAACTAGGTGAAGAGGATAAACTGTGACATTTTCATAAAAACAAAAACATGCTGAATTTTCTTTTGAAGATATAGAATTGCAGTATGATTAAGTATGGACAACAACTTCATTGTCAGTATTATCACACAAAAAAACTTCCATGAAGTTTAAGCAGAAAGCAATCATTTAAGTTCCAAAAATGGAAGAAATTTGTATGTTGTTTGCATAGCATGTGTCAATGAAGACAGTTCTGTTTTAACCATTTATTCCTTTTGTAGTATTTTTAAATAGCCTCCCTCATTCTGAGTCCTATTCACATTATTCAGGGTGCTTCCAGATGGAGAACTCCTACAGGTACCAATCAGAAAGCACTGTGCAGCTATACGGTGATCAAATCTCAACTCTGTCTTGTACTTTGTTTCTTGGCCAAGTTACGGGCCCTTGAGCCTCATCAGATTACCTCCTGTGAAACAGGCACTAGAGCAGAATATAGTAGGTGTACATACAGCCTTCAGAGACATACAAAAATCATGAACCAGGACAACATCATTTCAACACTCAATAACTGTACAAGCCCATTAATTTCGATAGTCCATGCCTCTGTCTGTGTGCTGATCAAACAAGACAATTCTTATAGGCAATACTGAGGGAAGGAGCTAGCCACTGTTAAGATAATGCTATGATACGGTACAAATACATGCATATTGGGGGTGGAGGTATCAAATGGGTGTTATCAGCATCCTCTGTGCCCCCTCCATCATGTTTCCTGCTGAGAACTGTTTCTTCACTAATAAGATGCAGCCATTATCCTTCCTCAGCATTTGATATAACAGCACAGATGCAATTGTATTAAAGAGTGTTCACAGTATAGGATATTACATTTATAAATGTCTATAATTGTATAGGTTATTACATTTATAAGTGTTAATTTTCCTCAGAGTTCTTGTTATGTGCATGCAAATTTATCTAATAGAACAATCGAATCTAATGATCAATCCATTAAAATTAATTTAATTGCAGCCCTAATTAAAATGTATTGCTTTGTAACTAAATATATCCTATACATCCAGGAACTTAATTCAATACCTTTCACTATGCAGTCTACATATTCCTTTGCACTAATAATGGGACTTTAAGCTGATAAAATTATGTAGTCTAGAGACAAGACAGAATGTCACAGAGAGAGGAAGGGGAAAGTGGTGATCAATTTGCACTTCATCAGAAGTACCATTGAAAAATATTGTACGTATTTGCAAGTAAACATTATGTAGGAGAGTTACAAGCCAAAGGGCCTAGACACTGTCTGGAAGGCCATAGGATAATTTTGATTACAAGATCTGAGGTTGGATAAAGAGATCCAGCTCTGGAGCTAGAAATCTACACTTCAATTTCCTCACCAGAATTTATAGCTGGTGTGGAAAGATCTATGTCAGCGGCATCTCCAAGGCTGAAAAATCAAACTCAGAAAGGGAAAAACTAGGCAATACTGGGAGGAGTCTAGGCCTGCCAGGATACAATGTATCCTGGATATCAAAGGGCCTCAACCAGTGGGTAAAAACAACCATCCTGCTAAAGTACAGAGTCTATATCCCTCCCCCCACTCTGTACTGAATGCTTGAAAGTATCCAGGTTAGGGGTTTAAAAGTATCAGGTGTACAATCAATAGGACAACATCCTAGATCAGTGGTGGCGAACCTATGGCACGCATGCCGCAGTGGGCACGCAGCACCCTCTCTGTCAGCAGGCAAGCCAAGTCACCCCAGCAGCCAAGCATCGGATAACAGCGCACATAGGGACCATGCACATGCTCGAAAAGGAGTAGCAGCGCCATGCAATGATGTCATGAGGCGCAACTCATTAGCCAGGACTCATCCGAGATTTTGCATAGTTGCTCAATGCGCTACCAAGGGGGGGGGGGGGGGGGGGGGGAGGGAGGGAAGGAGGGAGGAAGGGATGCTTGGACTGGCTGTGAGTTGTTTTTTCTAAACTAAAACCTCAGTATTCAGGTTTTATTGCACTTTTGGCATTTTGCAATAAATAAGTGGGTTTTGGGTTGCAGTTTGGGCACTCAGTCTCTAAAAGGTACGCCATCACTGACCTAGATCTACCATCATACAAGCAAATTTGGACCCCTGGGCATAAGGTCCTGCACTCCTGATCAAGGGCAATCAGTTTTTCCAACAATATCTAAAGCTGTATGGCCACCACTTCCATCGCAAGTGCCTTCCCTATGAAGTGGATATCAGCAAACCAACAGTAGTCATTAAGAACCTCTGCGACCAATGTTGGTTTCTTGAAAAAGAGGTGTACCAGAAACATCTTCAATGCATCAGACGCTTGCCCCTTTCGAAGTAATACATTTACTACACATTTGACCCTCCTGACCAGTCTCCCTCCCTCCCAACCCGTTCAGATTAGTGTAAAGTGCAGGGGTTGAGACAGCAAGTAATTGGAAATGCTACTTTAATTATTTGGACCAGATTATCAAGTCTAAAAAACTAAAACTGATACCATAAAAGTAGACCTGATGAAGCATTGGATTGCTCCTTTGGACTTCATCAACTTTAACATCTATGTTGGCAAAAGACAAGAGATTCTGTCCCAAAAGTGCCTTGAAATTTATCTCAGTAGGTGTCTGCATTCTAACACTCCATTTGCTATTGTAGCTATTAAAAGACCCCAGACTATCCAGATCAGCTTTTAAACCATTTGGACAATGACTCTTATGATCCATCCTTACATTCTAAAAACACACTTACCCT